GAGTGAAGCCCAGTCATGTAGACATACATCAGTGAAGGGACCACCAAAGAGGGAAGCACTGGATCAGCCACGTGGCCAAAGGAGCAGCAGATACTGTTCCTGAATTTCTAACCTATGGAGAGGTCAAGTCCTGAGACTGCATCTAACGAGGAGGACGAGGAGAGATGAGCTCCTCCCCCCAACAGCTATCATACACCATTTAAAAAAGTGCAACATTTACAAGTTTATATAAAACTCTAACCCCTGTAAATCCCAAATGCTGTGGAGATGGTGGAGAGGGAACAACTGCTTGCTGTTCCCACATCACCTCACCAAGGAGTAGGCTCACAGCAAAGAGGAGGAATCACTTTTCCACCCAATTCATGGTGCAGTTGTGGAACTCATTGCCACAGCATATTGTGGAGGCCTAAAGCATGAAAGGGATGATAAGATGCTGTGCAGAAGAGGTGCCAATCAAAACACCACTGAGCAGCAGAAGCTGGATGGGCACGAGAAGGACTCTCTTGTGCTTTCTGTAAGCATCTTCCACTGGCCACTGCAGGACAGAGGACTAGATTGGACCTTTGATCTGCACCAGTACAGCTGTTGGCTGAACCAGGTTCCACCCACAGGTAGGGTTAATTTGTTAATTAATAGGTGGGGTTATGCCCAGAGTTCTGCCTCCAGGTAGATGGCCAAGCCTTCAAAGGGCCTTGTGCCTACCACTGCCACCGCAGCTTCCAAACCTGCTCCACAGCTCCTTGCTCAGCCTCCTTTCAAATACAGCTATCAGCACAGCACATCTGCCACGGGGAGAAGTCCCCTCCAACCCCACCTTCAGATGGGTGGGAGAAAAGATAGAAGAGCAGCTGAGAAAGATCTACAAGTTAACAAGTCTCTCCCTACCAAACAGGACTTGGTGGGTTTTGTGGGTCTTTTTTTGCCAGGGCATTTGAATGTGAGTCTCCCTTGGAATGCCACAGGCCAGAGAACATTAAGTCTTGCATCTCCAGAGGGTTGTCACGTTTACACCTGCAACGTGGTCTTTCTCCCTGATCCAATACTGAGGAAAGGAAATCTTAGCTTGGTTTTCAGAACAGCACATTCCTCCCTTGTGTCTCAGTGGTTATACAGAGTAATATAGATGGAAAATATTGATACAACAAAAGCATAATATCTCCTAAACACTGCCTAAGGTTGGTTGGGTTTTTTGCCCATCTAGAAA